AATAGAAGGCTCCTAACTTTTAGACTCCTTTTTGTAAACAGGAGGTCTTATCGCGGTCTGGTAATAGCCGTATCTACAGTTAGGTGAGAATATTTCCATCTACTGCGTATAAGAGATGGTTTTTCCATTTCACAACTGGCTTGTTTTAATAAGAATACTAGAAAAAGTGAACAAAATTAGGATTGCTTTGTCCTTTTGCAGTAAACAAACCGAAAGCAGCAAATGTCATAACCACATGGAGTTCCCTCAGAGAACCGGAGTATCGGTGCGGTATTGCAAGGGCAGAATTGCCAGGAAATTCCTCATTGAGACATTGATGTCTCCTGCTCTCCACTGTCGCCACATTCTTTCGTCCAAGTATGACTGCAAATCTTTTCTCATTAAACCTTTCCTCCGTTTTTGACCAAGCTTGAGTTGGCTCCAGGCGGATTCTGCCTCCTGGGTATGGACTCCGGTACGCGGGTCAACAAAATTGTGTCTGTGGACGACGACTCGATGAGAGCTGACGTTTGGCAAAGCAGCCACTCTCCTGTAGGCTGCCCAGTCGTCGCTGTGGACTTCCGTACCTGGCCTAATGCATCGCTGAATGATTGGCAGCAGGGTGGCTGCATTCCTTCTATCCACTACCTGAAAATAGCCTCTCGCCGGATTGTAGTCGCACGACACTATTCCAAATACCCACGCATCTCGTGCTGCTCTCCTTCCCCTACCGTACTGGAAATAAAGAAATTCAAAGTATTATAATGTTTATAATCAGTTGTAGTAAGAATCAGCATGTTCCCAATAATTGTCAATTCTAACCTCTTGAACCCATTTTTCAATGGGCAGGGGGGTTGGGTGTGGACTCATTACCATTACCTATACGGGGAGGATCCACCTGAAAGGAGTACCTTTTTCAGTCCACAGTAGTTTGACAGAGTGGGGTTTTTCCCTATGTCGAAGTGTTTGAAAAGGTAGAGAAACCTGTTGTTTAGGGATAAAAATGGTCCTCAAATGAAATATATTTTAGTTACAGACGCACTTTATGGCTGTACCAATTAATCGTTAGACAATCGTCATACGACTAATGAGGTATTAAGCAGGTATGTGAAAGGAGTAATATTTACCAACGGAACGAATATGAAAATGGTATAGAAGAGGCATTGAACATTGGGCGGAGCATCTTCGCATAAAATTTCCTTGGGACCCCCCCCCCCCCCCCCCACCCCGTGATAAATTCATAACGACAGATGATGAAGTAGGAGAGCCAATCGCAGTGGCCCATAATAATTAATTGAAAGTGATTTTAGATCACGCTTATTTTTTTTTCGAAGCTAATTTTAATAAGCACGCAGCACGTAACAGAACTAAAAACAGATTAGAAAATAATTTGCGTTTTTTTTTTTTCCCCCTTCGGTTCTGTAACTGCAACGACACTTTATTTGAATTATCGTTGAATTTCGATTTTTATTTAAGAGTATAGTAACATTCATCGATTTTTATTTCACCTAGGTACTCAAGTACTGATTGGGTATACTGTGTTTATGTCTCCTGTTGGAGTCGGGAGAGCCATTTTTCGTTCGTTACCGTTACCTAATGGAGGGCAAAACGTCTAAGGATTTAAGGTTTTTTTTCCCCTCTTTCTGGGCTAGGGATATTAGACTTTGGCTCCAAAAATGGACGAAAAAAAAAAAAAGAAAGAAAGAAGGGTACCTTAGCTTTGTGATTGAACTTGCTTTCATCACATTTTACGACAGAACCCGGGCCTCCAAATGGTATGATGGGTCTATCGGCCAAATCTCTCGAACACACGTCTTGCAGTCGCCTGAAAATATTTGAAATTAACCCATGGTTGACATGTAACCTGCGCGTGGTAATCCTCTGCGAATCGTCAGCAATGAAATAATAGATGGAGAGGAGGAGAGTCCCTAGTGCCACTCGAGGGAACTCTTCGAAAAAGCTGTTTGTACGCAGGCTTCTTTTCTTCTTACATCCACTGCAACGCCTAGGAGACGGAAAAATAGTTTGGTAGTAAAACACGAAAATCAATCTCACGACTAAGTCCATAAAGAGAAAGCGCTCACGATTCGATCGTTCTATGCGAAACGATGTTAAACAAAAGAACAACGGTCCCGGGGAGAATTCCTCGGAATTCTTGGTGGAGGCGTGCCTCCGAGTTCTCCAAATGCTCATTGTTAGTTAGTCCAAAAAAGCAACAATGAAGATTTGTTAAAAGCCATTTCGAATTGGCATGTTTCCTCTTCCTTTTTTTACTTATTTGGAATTACTAAATAAATAAGTCCGTAATGCCCTACCGGCTAGATCCCTCGAAAACCATACCCGATTTGAAACCAAAATGAACAAAGTACTTATTCCGAGCCAAAACGGCGCCAAAACCCCACCCTTTTGGGCAGCACATACCTATATGGCTTATATAGGGGAGTACACAACATATCTCATTTATTTTCCTTTTTTTCATACATTATTATAATTTTTTTTTTAAGTTTAGTTTGCGAAACGGTTTTGGCCGTCCCCTTGTCGATCCCTTACAGCCCAAGCAAAAAAACCGACTTTCACCGGTGCAATTAGGGGCTATACCTTGCCGGAAACCAGTATTCGCGCAGCAAAATCAGTTTCGGCTAATTTCTAATTCTCAACTCTTATAGACTTATACGAATTGGCCTTGGATCAAACGAGAATATTTACGTTACTGATCAATATCTTGAGTTCCTCTATTTTGGTCGGCGATAAAAGTAGCATTGACGATCAATCGCATTGTCAACATTTTTTGATCATTGCATCTTAAAGTTAACGAAAAATTGAGATACCGTATAAGTTCTCGTAGATCGGCTATTCGATAGAAATTCTGGACTCAGGCCACTAAATGAGAACTCTATGCGTTTTATAACCTCCCCCCCCCCCCCCCCCCCCCAAAAAAAAAAAATGGGACAAGTGTGATAAGAATGATCAGTCATGCACGCCAAAGTAATCAAATGTTCATTAAATATGAATTGCCAAGTACTTGGCGATAAATAATCGTCGCGTGCTTTATGAATTTTCACGGGTCTTTACTCACCAGTGGAAACCATCGACATGATCTCCGTTCCTTTCCTTCATTTCCATATCTCGGTTGCACTGTCTGCACCGTAACGGGTTGGCCAGAAGAGACCGTTGTTGAAGCCACTGAATCAAATTCATCCGTGATCCTCGCTGTAACTCAACGCATTCGTACAGATCCATGGTAAAGTCAACACTAGGGAGCGATCATACACGAGAGTGAGAGAGCCGCGAATTACCGGGAATAAAAGGTGGTTTGTTAGTTCCTATCTTAATAAACATAGCGACGCTCGAGCATATTCCTGATTGGTTGATAAAACATGTGAGAAATCAACTTATTCATTACTTGTGATGTCCTTAAATAGTTCATGTTCACTTTCACCCTCGGCAGCCTAATTATCTAGGATCATCCTCTCCTTTAGTTCCCTTCTTTATTATTATTTTTTCTAACAACTGGACACAACGAAACGGTAATCTCAGTAATTGGTACGAATTCGGATACCCAACAGAAGTGCCTGCGGAAGTCACACCTCTCACCTGGTTATGTTAAACCGCACCGCCTTCTTACAATACAATACAACAAAGGCTTGTCATAGGCTTTGTTTCAAAACCAAGTGGCATCATTCTAAATCTGCTAACGGCTTCTTGCTACCTAGTCAACTTCAGAGCGATGGCTAACCGTGCATTATCTAGAACTGTGATTTTTTTAGACAAGCGTCTAACTTCTGTGCCTAGCTATGTCTATTATGAAAGGCTTTTAAAAGGAGGGCGCGTGAAAGAGATTTTCTTCACGAAAAATACCACCTCGCAAGAGATGGGAGGTAAAATACTGGATTGCTTTCCTTCCCTGGCTGGACGCGACCTTAGTCGGTGGGTATTCCAATAATATACTTTTAGTTAGAACTAGTATCATGCTTTTGGAACAGTACAAGGAGAATCAAGCGGTCAGATCGTTTCGTTTCGGGGCCGGTATAGTGCATGTAGTGAGGTCGTTCCACTTATAACGAGTCAAGTACAGTTTTCTCAATGTGTATTATAAGGCCGAAAGAATATCGTCTATACTAATAGAACTCTTGTTATTCTAAGAAATCATGTATTCGTTTTTGCTCGTATTTTTGAGTTGACACGTTTGTGCAAGAAAACAGACTTCACCCAGAGTCACCACTCTTATCAGGCCTGCGTGCGAGAATTGTCTTGTTCGCACTTTGCAGTGAAATAAAACACACGTTTTATCGATCTTGAAAACGGTTCCGACCACTACTCAGCAAAGTCAATCAAACATTGCTGAACTCTTTAACAAAACTTTTCATTGCCTTCATCATTATCGATCGAAACGCTGCTTTCTCTGGTTAATCGGTTAGTCAGTCTTAATCGATCTTCGGGTTTGGAGTTTTTGGGTCGTTCTCTACAATCCTCTATATCAAGTATATGCAGATATTGGCAAAATCTTGTAGTCCACGGTCAAACAACAGTGATTAATAGAATAATGGATTAATAGAATCACAGCAGTTTTTTTGTCATTCCAATACGGGACGTTATTTTCCTACTACCGGCTGATCATTCAGAAAACTTAAAACTGGCAGTGTGCAGAGTAAACCCTTCGGGGTATTTTGAGGGCGTATATTTCAGGGACGCGGATTGCTTTACTTGCGCACGCGCACAACATAACGTTAATTACATTTCATATCAAGACGTCCTAGAAGTTGAAAGGAGCCAGCGACTTATTTATTCGGCGATTGGCGACGAGGGTCATGCATATCAAGTCCACGCATATTGATCACAGAATATGACTGGCTTTCTTTTTAGGAAGACAGTCGACTAGACTGAGCAACACTATCGCGCGCGTACAAAACCCTAGCTTCAAACGGTTGCTCCAGTTGGCTCAGGAACTAGATAGAACTTAGAAGTTTTTTTTGTCTTTTCATACTTTTTTACTTCGACACATTGTCCTATTATTTCTATCTACTTCAAGAAGATTCGTATTCTTTGTTTTCAGACTTGAGTTCATAGCGTCCTATTCGAAGGGCCATTCCATGGCTACGGTGGCAACAGGACTCCAGGACGGCTGTAAAGTAGTGGAGCTGTTTGGGGGAGCCAGGAAAAAGAAAGTGTTTATATACCTTCCTTCTGGTAAGAAAATTTCCATCGAACTGATCGCAGAGGAAAAGCTACATTCCCCTTTTTGACGTCAGTAATATTTTTTGGCGTTTAGACTGGTTACAATGCATGATATTAATATCATGCAGTGTAACCGGCCTAAATGCCGAAAAATATTACTGACTTCAAAAAGGGGAATATAGCTTTTCCTCCCCCATCCCCTCCATGCAATGTTGTGCCACTGTTCCAGCTGCCTCTAGAAACCAACAAACATCCGAACTTTGAATGGAAGGGAACAGGGAGGGGTGTGGATTCCTTTGTTCCCTGAAGTTCCCCTTTTTAAGTAAAATTAATGTCTCAACAATTTTGCTGATTGTAGCTTTGTTTGCAAACTTCTTATGGGGATTTTTTGAATACTTTGTATAGTTTTACAGTCAACATTTTTCTAGTTTTCCAAAATGGAACTTTGTTATATTTGAACATTTCTTTTTTCTGCCTTGTGAGACTGAATATGTTATATTGGCTTTACTGCACTGGAAATTTTCAAGTGCTTTTATAATAATTCAATACTTTTACTAGTGTATTCTGTGTGAGAAAATAATTATATTAACTCAACACCCTCCAGTTGCCAAGTTTTGTTATTCGAACCACCTTTCTCATTTACATTAGATCAATATAAAAAAGAAAAAGTTAGATATTAATGGCTATTTGGCAGTCAAACTGGTTTTGTCTAAGGAGAGTTTGCGACACATTTACACAAGGCTTATGTTCCATATTCATTAATACTGCCTCCATTGAGTCACGTTCATGTCTTTCCTGTTGTGTTAAAAATTTAAAAATTGCCTATGAAACAGAGAATACAGTCAAAAAATTTACTGCAAGTGCATTAATTTAATTGCAGTTGATTGTTCCCTTTCAGCATCACAAACAAGGTCATCCTCTACCCTTACCTCAACGTCTTCTACATTGTCATCAGCCGCGTCTTCTGTCTCAACAGCCACATCAACTCCAGTTACATTTTCCTTGCCAATGTCTTCAACAGCAACAGCCTCATATCACACCCAGACATTTACATTACCACCATCCATATCATCCATTTCTGCCTCCACCTCCACAGTGCCACTTATGTCATCCTCCACCTCCACCTCTACAGTGCCACCCATGCCATTTTCTGCCTACAACTCCACAGTGCCACTTATGTCATCCTCCACCTCCACCACTACAGTGCCACTCATGCCATTTTCTGCCTACAACTCCACATTGCCACTTATGTCATCCTCTACCTCCACCTTCACGGTACCACTTGTGTTATCATCCACCTCCACAGTGCCATCCTTGTCATCTTCTACCTCCATCTCCACTTCCCCAGTGCCGCGTATTCCAACTTCTGTCTCCATTTCCATCTCCTCAGTGCCGCCCTTGTCTTCCTCTATTTCCATACCCACCTTTGCAGTGCCACCCATGTCATCTTCTACCTCTACCTTCACTTCCTCAGTGCCATGCATGTCATCTTCTGTCTCCACCTCTTCAGTGTCACCCATGTCTTCTTCTATCTCCACATCCACCTTTACAGTGCCACTTATTTCTTCTCCTACATTCACTTCCACGGTGACACCTGTATCTTCTACTTCCACTCCCACATTGCCACCTGTGTCAGCCTCAGGGATCCTAATAGATCTTACCACACCACCCTCTAGTGGAGGTAAGTAAAGTCTGTGAATGTTTTAATATGCTAGACGTGAAAAATTTGACCAAACAATTATTGTTTTAACAGTATTAATGAGGTTTAACGCAAATTCTGAAGTCAATCATTCCCAGGATTTGCTTGGTTGATCATCATCCATGTTAAGTGGCGCCAGGCGAAGGGTATCAACACCTTTATTTTTTCAGTAACGCCCTCCTTAAATATCATGTCATGAAAATGTGTTTTTGCAATATATCTTTTAATTCACTGAGTAGTGGTAATTAATAACAGCTGGCAGTGTACATTTACATCTAGGCTAGAGTTGATCTCTTTATTCACACATGTATGTGTTTCCCCAGATACGATAAAAAGTTGCAGGCACTGTATGTGTCTATAGTCCTCCCATTCAATAAAGCCTTAAACTTAGAAGCTGGTGGACATTGAAAATCTTCCTGACACTAAATGAAATGTGGAAGGAAAAAATTATACACTTGGTTTAAAGACTACAATTTATTGGCCATTCTTGACAATTGTATTGCCAACCACAAGGGTTCTGTATTGGCTATTAAAACAAATTAGGTTGAAAGGCTTTTTAAATTCAAAAAGCATGAATACCGTTGTTTTGATATTTCCCTTGTGTTGTTATATGACTGTTTATTATTTTTATTTCCTTTGACATTATTATTTTCACACTTTCATGTTTTCTTCTTTTTACTTTAATTGCAAGCCTCCACCCGAAGGTATTTGACAGCTATAGCAAGCAGGGCAGGAACATCATTTGGTATGTCTAACCCCTTGAATATTTTTACTGGTGTAAAGGACTTGAAGTTTTTTGAGGTTTTTCTATGAATAAAAAACACTTGTAACACTTACTGATAATCATGATGATTATGTGTTCAGCAGATGATACATACGAGGATGATGTCATAGACTTAGATTCCCCTGGAGAGGAAGATGAAGGTGCAGGTGAGAAGAAAACACTTATGTTTAGCTACAGTGTATAGAGTTTATGAAATCACAATGAGATCGTGACTGTACATGTAGTTTGCTTAATGGTGTACATAAGGATATATAAGAAAAAAACATTACACAATATCATGTGCTTATTGAAACATTTTAATGGGTACACGAAATTATTGTAATCAAATATAGAGGCCAATTCATGTAATAGTTTGTTTGTAACACACTGAGGCGAATTTTTAACTTTTAACTTTGACATCACAGGTGTCGACACCAGCTGCTTTGGAGATGAGCTACCACTCGACACCAGCAACTTCGGAGAGCTACCAGTCTGTAAGTTTCGTGCAAAAGTAGATAATTACACATAATAATACATATTATTATATATTGTTCGCGACTCAAACTACCATATTTGTCATAGTTCTTTTCTCTAGTGTTTCTCTTTTAAAAACTGTGTTTAGGAATGGGAAGTTTTTGTCACTGCTAATACTGTTCGTTAAGTTGTTACTTGCTGTAAGTAATTGTATGTTAATGTAACAACTGTAATAAATTACCAAAATTAAGTCATCAGAGATATTTGTGACAAACTGTGTCATGGCATTTTGTATCATCTCTTTAAATTACTATTTAGGTGGATATGTGTTTGATGATCTCTCCACCGCAGGGGTTGTGACAGGTACTGTTGCATTCTTCTGTAGATTCATTAGTTAACAGTGATAGTATTAATTATCAACATTGCTCGTGATGCCATTCCCTATGAGCCAAATACTGTAAGTCCACCCTTCTTATTCACCAATTTCAAGGGCTATTGGACAGTTATTAGACTAAGGTGTGTAAGGATGGCTATATATATTTTTTATTTGAAAATGATATGACAATCACTATTAATTATGTGTATTAATTAAAACACAAGATGTTATAATGTTATTTAATGCCCGCTGATAAATTGTTTATGGGTGGTTCACTCACTGCTTATAATGTTAAAATCACAGATGATGCCAGCATTGTCAGTAGAACGTCTGAGGTTCTACAATGCATCAACTCCTTGGAAAGAGTGTGTGGAGAGATGGCGCAACTCCCATTCCTTACGCATACCTTTGAAGAGGTAGGCTGTTGATTGCACAGATCTCATTATCCCTTTGTATAGCCTTTTCAAAATAATTGGAAAGAGTCTATTGCTTATCGGTCGCAGTTGTCTTGACAGGATATACCGCAAAGCAGCTATTGATGAGGGAGGAGCAAAATTCACTATGCCTTAGAAATTTTGGAAAGTTTTGTTTGTTGTTGCTTTTTCATGTAGTCTGAGTTTTCTAGTATCTTTTTAATTGAGCATTCAATACCAAAGGGAAGTTTTGCAGTAAGAAATGGTTTTGCAAGCTACCTGTATGTGATCTAATTTTCATGTTTCTACATTATGCACTGACTGGCTTGGATTTCAATAACAATCATTTAACTCTTACCAATGTTGTTTGTTTAATTTGTTATAATTAATTTCTATGCCTCAAATACTCTACATGGGTTTTTTAGTGGGTTTTATTTCTAATACTGAAGTCATATAATTTAGGGGTCACATTTTAAATATGAGGGAAATTTCTGGGTTTCAATATCTGTTGTGACCTTATTCACATCATCCCCTTAATTTCAACTTGTTTTAACCTCCCTTCATCACTCCCACAGTCTATGACTTATGGGCAAATGGACACCACCAATGCTGGCTGAAAAATGAATAATTTAATAAATAACTATTTCTAAAAACAAGACTCGTCCTCTCTTTGCCTCGTATGTGAATTTTCCACTCATTTACTCAGCGAGCATCGGTATTCAAAACTTAGTATGGTTTCCACTTTTATGTACAATGTTTGCTCCATGCATGTAAATCTCACCAAACATGACCTGCGTATATGTTGTGGTGCAATTTTTTAAAGGACTTAATTAACTTGCCCAAATCTGTCTTGAATCATGCATGTGATTAAACAAATCAGATACTCAATTGCAGTAAAAAACAGATTTTGTCAACCACTCTGAGAATCTTCACTATTTCAGACTCAAATTCACCGATTTAACTCTGTAATGTAATTGGAGACAGGGGTCAAGGCAGATTCAACTCATACAAAACTTATTCGTGATTTTGTTAATTAATATAAATATGAACTCTGAGTTTTCAATACTTCTAGTTTGTATACCAAGGGACACAGGACGGTAGAATAATGATGGCTGTCCTACTAGATGATCAACCTTTGGACAGTCAACATTACAGAAAGCTAATTACGTGAGTATGTTGTTTATTTCTTTCTAAGCTGCTGCCAGGTAGCCAAGATAGTTCATGATTGTCACATGCTTTTTTTGAGGGGGGGGGGACAGGGTGTATTACAGTTGAACAGAAAATACCGTACGATTTATAGGTCTGTTGTAAACTCCTATGACGGGGCACTGGCGACAAGGCTTTCAAGTCTGACCCCATCCCTATGTCAATCTCTACAAATACCACATGAAGATTAACCTATTGTTGTCATTTCTTCTTCTTCTTTTTCTTCTTAATCTTCTTCTTCTTCTTCTTCTTGTTATTCTTATCATCATTATCATTACTACTATTATAAGTGTTATCACTATTACATTTATTAGACTGCTGAATGCTGTTGATGAGGGAGATGAAGGCTGCTTTCTCTGGATTGCTGACCACCAGTCTCCTGAATCTCAGAAAGGTATGAAAGTGAAAAACTTTAAGTCTATTTATTGCATAGACAATGGCAACATTGCTTTTTTGAACATGATACAAATAAACCTAAATATCATTTACTTGTGTTCTCTATCTTTAAGTGCAACTGAAGTTCAGCATCATGCCGGGAACGGTACTGATTTTATCTCCGTCTTTAAGTCTGGCTGCACCACAGTGTGTGGAGATATTTGATGGTAAGTTTAATTAAAACATGCATTTTTCCAGGATCATGTTCTCCTTTTTTTGGTTTGTGCTACCTCGTAGTGTATAGTTACAGGTAACATAATCCTAATCATTATTGACAAAACTTCTTTTTTGTTCATGGCATTTATTCGAATTGTACTATCTGACTACCTTTTTTGTCATTTATATTAATGCTTGTGAAATTAATTTAAAAAATTTGTTTCCCAGTTGCAGTCTTAGAGGAAGATCCTTTTTTTGGTGCCACCAAAACAGCAAAAGAGATTTGCCTGGCACTAAAAGAAGAAAGGTAAGTTTTCAGCTAGAATATTTTATTAATTGGAACCAATGCACTTGTGATGTATTGTAATAGTTATTTGTCTTTATTGTTTGGTGGTAAAAGCTCGATATTGTGTGTTGCCTTAATTTCTTTTTTAATTGTTTGTAACCTTTCTTAGGCTGTCCGATACCCTATAAGCATTGTTTTTACTTTAACTTTATGAAATAAAATTAGTAATTTTGTCTTAACCAGGGAAAGGTTGAGAGCAAGGTGGGCTCAGAGGGGAGACAGGTTGAACCCGATTGAAGAGGTTTGTACATATTCTCATGGTTATTTAGCAATTAATGAATGAGGCTGTGTAGGGAATGAAGAATTTGCCAAATCGAGGAGGATATGTTATCCACCGAGGCCTTGATAGTGGATGTTATGAATTTAAAGGGCTGGTCTGCAAATATACTTCAAATAGTAGATGTTGTCCATCGAGGTGTCTCCTTGCTATGTTTAGACAATAGTTAGCCGTGAAACGAGTAAAATGTTCCGCAGAGTGTTATGCAATTTTTGTTTTCACAACCAAAACAACTCCACTTCGTCCTTAGGTTTTCTCGGTGAACAGTGCATTAACTGCAAATGTGCTGCACTTTTGACATCACTGGTTGATTTATTGCAAAATTTTTCCAAATTTGCTCAACAATAGCTGCTTATGCTGAATTTTGCGTGTGCTTTTAGCCAGCTTATAGGTATATTCTGGGTAATTAGAACATAAAACATTTCTTTTATCTGTTAAGCAGCCACTTGTTACGTGGTCGCTTCAAGTCTAAACTGTATGAATCTGGTACATCAACAATTGCCTTATCCAATGCAGGATTTTGCTGCAGTTTTGACAAGCATTGTACAAAAGGTTATGTTTTTAAATTAATTCAGCTTTGTTTGTTATCATAGTCTGCAGATTTGGATGAAAGTGGAGTTGGGGATGACAATGAGGTATGCACATCCATTGTTCACTGATGGTCTTGGTCATTCTGAGACTTTTGGGATGTTTAGTTTAAGAAGTGATAAACTGCAATCGCGGACAAATCCTGTAGAGACACATTACAAAAATAGCCTTTTTGCACTCACCCTGACAAAAATGCTTACCATCACAAATTAAAAGACCTTTTCCCCTCCCCTATTGCAATGTTGTTTGCAGTAACACCAGAAAATGCTCACATGGGCTGTTCTGCCAAAACAACAGTGCAGCAGGGCTGGGGAGGGGGGTGGTAGTGTGTATCATTTATGAAGCAGTTCTGCAACATCCTGCAAATAGCGTGTGTGATGACCTGAAATTTATATAGTCTGGTTGTTTATTTTTTTAAGGAAATGTTTATCAGCCAGCATGTTAAGTTGTCATTAATTGTATTAAGATGCAGTGCAATGTTTGTATTGAATTTCTACAGGCACTGTACAATGGTTTCTCGTTTTCTTGCTTACAAATAGACTTATTTAGAGCAGTTTCTTCCCTGGTGTTTACGTGACAGCCGATTGTTTTGAAAATTACAATATTTACAATTTCTCTCCCAGTATGTCTGGATATCAAAAACAATTATTTTTAATACATTGATACATACATTTATAAATATATCCTGTGTGTAGGGAGGCCCTTTGTTTTAATATTCATAACAATGTGCCTATGATGTACTCTTTAGGAGGGCACCCTGAATCTGACCCTATGTTCCCATTGCCACCGAAATAATCTAATTAGAATCTTTTACTTTTTTAAAATTTGTTTCAGAATGAGGACAGTGACACTGAGGTATGCATAATGTTCACAATTTTATTTACTTTAATCTCTCTGACTGGGCTGGACTGGTCGGACTGAGATTTGATCTGGACTGATCGGAATGGATTTGATCTGGACTGATTGGAATGGATTTGATCTGGACTGGTTGGACTGGATTTGATCTGGACTGGTTGGACTGGATTTGATCTGGACTGACTGGACTGGATTTGATCTGGACTGGTTGGACTGGATTTGATCTGGACTGGTTGGACTGGATTTGATCTGGACTGACTGGACTGGATTTGAACTGGACTGGTCGGACTGGATTTATTCTGGACTGGTTGGACTGGATTTGATCTGGACTGACTGGACTGGATTTGAACTGGACTGGTCGGACTGGATTTATTCCGGACTGGTTGGACTGGATTTGGTCTGGACTGACTGGACTGGATTTGAACTGGACTGACTGGACTGGATTTATTCTGGACTGGTTGGACTGGATTTGATCTGGACTGACTGGACTGGATTTGAACTGGACTGGTCGGACTGGATTTATTCCGGACTGGTTGGACTGGATTTGGTCTGGACTGACTGGACTGGATTTGAACTGGACTGGTCGGACTGGATTTATTCTGGACTGGTTGGACTGGATTTGATCTGGACTGACTGGACTGGATTTGAACTGGACTGGTCGGACTGGATTTGATCTGGACTGGTTGGACTGGATTTGATCTGGACTGACTGGACTGGATTTGAACTGGACTGGTCGGACTGGATTTATTCTGGACTGGTTGGACTGGATTTGATCTGGACTGACTGGACTGGATTTGAACTGGACTGGTCGGACTGGATTTATTCCGGACTGGTTGGACTGGATTTGATCTGGACTGGTCGGACTGGATTTATTCCGGACTGGTTGGACTGGATTTGGTCTGGATTGACTGGACTGGATTTGAACTGGACTGACTGGACTGGATTTGATCTGGACTGATCGGACTGGATTTGATCTGGACTGGTTGGACTGGATTTGATCTGGATTGACTGGACTGGATTTGAACTGGACTGGTCGGACTGGATTTGAACTGGACTGGTCGGACTGGATTTATTCCGGACTGGTTGGACTGGATTTGATCTGGATTGACTGGACTGGATTTGATCTGGACTGACTGGACTGGACTTGAACTGGACTGGTCGGACTGGATTTATTCTGGACTGGTTGGACTGGGTTTGATCTGGATTGACTGGACTTACTGGACTGGATTTGATCTGGACTGGTCGGACTGGATTTGATATGGACTGGTTGGACTGGATTTGATCTGGACTGACTGGACTGGATTTGATCTGGACTGACTGGACTGGATTTGATCTGGACTGGCTTAAGTGGGTTTGTGTGTGGTGTGGTCTGGCTAACATGGTACTACTGTGGACTGGGTGGACTAGGTACTTCGGGTACATAAATAGTAGGGCAAGACTTGCTTAAGCAAATAGAACAAATAATTTATTAATATCATGAATTTCCATAAACAATAATCATTAAGCGTTGATAAATAATTCTAAACACAGTACAGTCGATTAAAGATTAACTTGAATGTAAGTAAGCTTAATTTAAATGTTAAATTGCCCGAAGGTCCATTCGAATGTCTTCCCAGAGGAAGTATGACAGTAGACCTTTCTACTGTCATACTTCCTCTGTGCCTTTTTTTTTTTGTAGGTTACATTTGGACCAGGAGAGGCGAGGTCAACTGATGATTTGTCGGCTACAATTGAAGATCCGAAGGAAGACGGTATGCGAAGCTTTTTAAGTAATTCTAACAATACCTTATTTTACATCTCCTAGGAGAATCTTTTACCCGTAAATGGTTATGTTTCATTGAAATCTTAGACTGAATTTATGACCGTTCTACCACGCTCTGTTGTGCAACAAGAGAAAAAAGGCCTCAGTCTGATAATGTATTTATCGATCTGCCCATTCATTAACAGAAGCTGCGGGAAAACCAGGAGAGACGAGGTCAACTGATGATTTGTCGGCTACAATTGAAGATCCGAAGGAAGACGGTATGCGAAGCTTTTTAAGTAATTCTAACAATACCTTATTTTACATCTCCTAGGAGAATCTTTTACCCGTAAATGGTTATGTTTCATTGAAATCTTAGACTGAATTTATGACCGTTCTACCACGCTCTGTTGTGCAACAAGAGAAAAAAGGCCTCAGTCTGATAATGTATTTATCGATCTGCCCATTCATTAACAGAAGCTGCGGGAAAACCAGGAGAGACGAGGTCAACTGATGATTTGTCGGCTACAATTGAAGATCCGAAGGAAGACGGTATGCGAAGCTTTTTAAGTAATTCTAACAATACCTTATTTTACATCTCCTAGGAGAATCTTTTACCCGTAAATGGTTATGTTTCATTGAAATCTTAGACTGAATTTATGACCGTTCTCCCACGCTCAATTGTGCAACAAGAGAAAAAAGGCCTCAGTCTGATAATGTATTTATCGATCTGCCCATTCATTAACAGAAGCTGCGGGAAAACCAGGAGAGACGAGGTCAACTGATGATTTGTCGGCTACAATTGAAGATCCGAAGGAAGACGGTATGCGAAGCTTTTTAAGTAATTCTAACAATACGTTATGTTACATCTCCTAGGAGAATCTTTTACCCGTAAATGGTTATGTTTCATTGAAATCTTTGACTGAATTTATGACCGTTTTACCAAGCTCTGTTGTGCAGCAACGAGAAAAAAAAAAAGCTCAGTTTGATAATGTATTTATCGATCTGTCGATTCATTAACAGGAGCTGCGGGAAAAGGAAAAAAGAGAAAGAACAAGAAGAAGAAGAAGAAAAACAAAAAGAAAAACAAGAAGATTAAAATCACTCCAGTTGGAGACTCAGGGGCGGATCCAGGAGCTTAATTGGGTGGCTAGAAACTCACCTTTATAACAGCCCACTAAAAAGAATATAAAGTCAAAAAATCTACAAAGCCGATCAGCTTCACGGTGACAATGAAAGACCAAACACCTGAATTTACAACCAAGACAGAAAACCATTAATAATATGTATTTAATTTTTGCGTTTGCATTTCGTCCTTCCAAAATGTGAATGTTTTGGGACAACTACAAGAGAATTTGAACTCAATTAACGTATATTGTGCCCTCCCCCAAAGAAAAAGTTCTGGATCTGTTCCTGACACCCTCGTAGAATGAATTACCTCCGTAGCATGCTTCTGTTAGTATGCCAGTTTTTCTTACAAATGCTGACTTACACGTAGCTTTTTGTCATTTCTTATTTAAAAATAAAACGGTTAGCTGTGCCATTTTACTTCTTTCGAGGAGATGTTGAAGATCTTTCTATTTTACATGACATTCTCCTCGGTAATTTTCCCCGATTTTCAGCACATAGATCGTTAAAAATCTCAGAGCAATATTTCGCGATCTTTTTCAAAGGATATATATCTCAAACCAAACTAAACAGTGATGCGATAAATTACGTGGCTAGTGAGTCTTTGGGTAAGGCCTAATTTTACCGAGACCACGTAAAAGAGAAATTATGAGAACTGGTAAAATTGGGCCTGGTCCCAGTTTAGCTCCTTCTCCAACTTGCCCGTTCAATTCAGGTCAATTCTTTGGTGGAAAAATGAATATGTAGATAGACTGAATGAAAGACATTTTAGTTATTGTTTGTCTCATTAAGGTTAATGCCGAGATATTATTGAACTGTCCCCAGTTGTTCACAAGATGGACAGCGCTATCGACCGGATAAATAGCTAAACAGTGAAAACCAAGGCCACTGCCACCATCCCGGCGATGGTTTATTCTTTATCCGGTGGGTAGCGCTATCCACCTTTTGAACAACTGGAGCCTGCTCTTTATTAACAACACTAGCTAAGACGTCTATGTTATTATGATCTTGTATTAGTACATTTTGACTTTCATCAACTTGGGCTCAAAACGATGACAATATACGAAAGATAGACAGGAATTTTAAGTGATTATTTTCGATTACAATAAGTGTACAATAACAGTTTGCTACTTCCGCTATGTAACGCGATCAATCGCTTTTTGATAAAAATTGAAAAGACAACGGAAATGCAACTCATGTAAGAAACACTTTATTTTTAAGTTATAAGAAGGCTGCATCATTAGACTTTAAAAGCCTTAAACCCCGTATTTTCTAAGCTTGGGGCGGGCTAGAGGCAAAGACACAAGCAGTGACTGACCGCTACAAAAAGAGGAGGGGCATTAGCGAATGTAGAGAAGTATCGTATCGTTTCGTTTTCACATACTGCAACAACTTCGAAGTTGTGAGATAAAAAAGGTTTAACGCTGCAAGCGGTTTCTTACTTTCAGTGCTTGTAATTGCCAGGCAATACTCATTTTAAAAAATGCAGTAAGATCTACTATCCCAGTACCGTTTTATATCAGGGCTTTCGAGCGAAACAGACTCCATGACAAATAATGAAAGGTTTGGCCACATTTGGCTAGTTTCAATGAAAATTTTAAACACTCATATCGGTAATCGAGGACTTACTAAGACTTGCATGAGAAAGAGCTCGACAATTCTCCCTCCCCCCCCCGAGAAAACTAGTTCTAGGCGACCGAGCTCGATTAGCTACGATTAACGTAAACCGAGCTCGGTCCATTTAAAAGCGGTTACGAGAACTCGAGCGCGATAGTGAGGCTTATCGAGCTCGATAACATTCTACTTGTCCCCCCGGAAAAGTGAGAGTCCTTGCTTCACCGTCCTCGACAATTCGAGCTCGGTATCGACATATCGAGGACGGTTTCCCGAGGTCGATTAGTTCATCGAGGCCGGTTGATATATCGACTTCGATAAACCCGTATCGAGCTCGGTTTCCCGAGGTCGATTTGTTTATCGAGGCCGGTTGACATATCGAGCTCGATAAACTCGTATCGAGCTCGGTTGCCCAGAAAACTAAACTGATCCGAAATTTATTGCATTTAACACCTCCAGAACACGTATAGAGTTGATGTAGTGGTTTACGAATGGCAATCCCTCACGAGGTATTAGCTTATGGTTGGATACCTTTCACAGTTGTCTTAGTGGTGAGTTGAAAGCTTTTTTTACTTCAGCTGATGTAGGACTGACGTCGATCGTCGTCGTTGAAAATCCATGTTGGTAGCTGCAGGCTACTAGCATTTCGAAAAACATTACATAATTTTATTTTTTACTTTACACAACATATACCTCTTAACAGCATATTACTAAAAAAGAGTGTAGTATATTAATAGTAATATTGCGAGCTCAATGGTAGAAAGCTCAAGCAATTTTTGTTTTGTGCAATACAGGAAGCAACAGGACAATAATTGCACGATGACGTCATTTTACTACAACTACCAGAATCCTTGAGTTTGTTGTTTTCTTGTGCAAATTAAGGCTGTTGTTCTTTAATCCTCAGCCGGATTGACAAATTTAAATAACAAAGCAAAACCAAAATGAATTCTGGTAGTTGTAGTCAAATATCGTCATCGTGCAATTGTCCTATTAACTCCAAAACATAGGGAGGGTAAATGAACTCTTTCGGTCTGACATACATAGCAAAAGTCACAGAAACTCTATTGTCTCAGAAGCTCTTTGTCTCAGCCAATAAAAATTGAGAGTCTTCCTTTAATGTTATTAGTAAAAGTTGGCTACATTGGCTTCTGGTAATGTTGCAGATGATTTTAATAATTAATAGGCTTTCATTATTTTTAGGGGACTGTCGCTTTATAGAGGAAAAATCTTACTGAATGCACGTGCAAAATGACAAGTTTATGTGACAACGTGACGAATGTATACGCCAAATGCCTAAAATCCATCAAATTACAAAGAAATGTTCCAAATGCAAAATTCATGGTTGGTGGATAAAAGATGCTTTCAGAAATAATTTTGCTGTCATTTTGCTGCTGCACTTATTTAGAACAACAGTCCCCTAAAAGTGATGACAGCTCACTAACTGACATTTTTTGCAATTGTTCACTGGCATAAAAATTAATTTGTTTTTCTCTGCTTGTTATCCAGATGAATACATATATGTGAGATTTGCAGTAGTAACTAGTTAGTTGTAATTTAGCCTGAGAAAACACTAACATTTTGCAACAATACCACTGTTTTTCCTGCAACATGATGTCTGAGAAACACTTGAGCCAGAAATTCCATACTGATCATGCATCACTACCCAGATCTAGTTAAAGACTCATCATCAGTAACAAATTTCTGCATTCATTTCTCAGACATCAGTTTGGAGGGAAAACAGTGGTGGCATCCCAAAAATTAATGACGGCAGTTTTCTTAAGCTACTACTGTAGTAATGTTATTGTTACCATTTTGTTTTACATTGGCAGCTGATCTTCATTTTTTCCTGGTTCTACATTCGTTTCTATCAAGACCATGCCCAGTCAGAAGTGTCCTCCACGCTGACAGCTATTGTGGCTCTTGCTATCACATTGCTTACAACTGCACTTGTTCCAGTTGACATTTTTCTTGTATCGTACATGAAGAATGATGATGGAACTTGGAAGGTATGAACTTTTTTAACATCAAGGTCAACTAAGTCTTAAAGTTCCATGTGAATCTGGCACTTTATCTTAAGTCATTTTTTTCAGTTGGTGGATATATTTGGCAAAACAGTTTCATTAAATGGGACAACAATAAATAGTTAGCATAAGTGTCTGGGTAAGGAAGGATCATGCATTGTGGTCAAACTATATTATCAAATTGCTAAACTCCAGGGTGAGTCACTTCAAAGGGTTACTGTGGTGGTAACACAAAAAGATACACAAAAGAATTCTTTAAAAATCCTGTATTCTCTGCATAAACTTTATCAATTGTGCAAAAGAATTTCACAAGGTAGCTACAGATGCCCTCCTTGGATGGAAGATTTGGGATTGTGTTTGACTGTATGTAAAGTTTACTGTTACCCTTGCTGAGGGGGTCGGCAGTGAAATAATCAATAATTAATACTTCTTTAAAGGTGGCTATGTATTTTGTCTTAAAATATGCATTGAATGCTAGAAGGTATCAAAGCTGCTAGCCGCGGGGTACATGGTAGGCAATGAATAATATTATATTATGTATTCTTTGCAGTTTTTTTCCAATTGAAAGTGCAAATTCAAGTAAAAGTATCATTATTTCATGTTACATTAAATAAAAATGAAAGGATGCAAATAAAAATGCTTTATATGATTCATAGTCGATTTAATTTCATTATTATGATTGTTAATGTTAATTTTTAGGAATGGAGTGCTGATGAATCTGTAAGAAATGACTTTGAAAAGAATACTGTTGCAGTTGGTTATTATGGTATGTACATTGTATCCACATTGTATCCATTTTGATCAGTATATCTTATGAACTGAAACCTGCCAGTGGCCTCCTCACATCGACCACATCAAAGCTTCCAGTTGCTAATGATGTGGTGGAGTTTCTTTTCATGTAGACTGCTGTATTACATTTCAAAAGGCTTTTTAAATAAAGTTAAATAAAATATTTATTTAACACAGTTAACAAAAAGGAACATGGTCGTGGTCAGTGGTCAATCGTTTGGCTCAAGCATGGTCAGCCTTGCTTGCATCACCTCCATGTGCTCAGTAAAGTGTTTTCCTAGCAGCCACTCTCTCCACCGATGAATCAGTGTGACAGGTGCCTGGTTCCATTGGTGTGGGGGCTCATGGCTGGAGGGCGTGGGTTTGCCAGCCATGGGGGCGTAACTCTTTCTAGGTGCTGGCTGTGCCATAGGTGGAAGCCCCTGGACGTCTCAGGCACCCACCTCAACTGGTGTGCAGTTTTTAAATAGTAAAAAAAGAAGTCATATTATAACTTCTTGGTGTCTACCTTATCTAGTCTTTTTAGGGCTTCAAAAAACCTTGAATATCAGCACAATTCTTGTAATTAATCTGCTTGCCCAAGGTTATTGAATGCATGACCTAGTTTATGGTTACCTTTAAGCCCCAAGATCCACATACAAATTCTCCAGACTGATCTCCGTACATTTCCTTTTGAGAATATTTGAGAGAATTTGGTTTAAGATCAAAGTTTTCTCCCTTTGGTAACTAATTTGGGAATTCTCATAACCTTTACTCTTTATGATCTGCTGATGTTGTTAGGACAAAATTGATGTTGGTCACCCTTGGGACTTAATAAAGGGTTAAGTTAAAAGGTGACTTGCCTTGCCCATCGCCTGTGGGCAAGTGGGCAATCTATATGATGCATGCAAAAACTAGTTGTCCTAGATGACCAAATGGGTACTTTTTGGAAACTTGCTTTTGAATGGTTCCTATAGACGGTGGTAATCCAGATCTGGATTTGCTGGGTTTGAATTTACGATCTCATTGGCACTACCCCTCTGCTGTCGATGGTCATCTTCAAGTTCCTTGGTCTTTTTTTGCATATGGAGAAGTATGAACCCACTAAACTATGAGTTAAATGAGCCTACCCACGGGAGAAGATCTCCAATTAGACTCAGGCTTTTAGTCAGACATTGAAAACTGGCCGTCCAGAAGGCATGTTTTCTTATAAAATTATAAGAGATTAAGTGAATTATCCTTGTTTTTCTTCCAAAATGGGCGTCCATAGGACGGCTGGACACAACTCCAGCTAAAACCATGGTTAGACTGCATAAGTCCTTTCCAGCCAAGTCCTGGAATTGATCGACCCCTGTAAGCGTTTCTCAGAGGATGACATCGTGTACACTGCCCAAGACTGAGCCAGTTGGAGATGACTTACAGTCGACTGCTCTTTGGTCAAGCGATGATGTGTATGATGATTTGCTGGGTTTACATTTGTCATGCCTTCTAATACTGTCAATGCTTGATGGTTGATAATATTATTTATGTTGCGGTTAATTTTTTATTTTAGTCAATTTTTGTTTTTCCTTCATTTCAAATTCATCAGCATACTGTACATGTACACTACCATACCCAAAAATTAATTATAATTAACAAATATTGCCAAAACCTGCCTTATTTTAACTGCAACAATTATGTGTCATTCAAAAGAGTGATAAACGTGTCATTGAACGGACAAAGGATTACAGTGTCCTTGTAACAAGCATACATGATGGTGTATATGATTGTAATTCAATTGTTGTAAAAAGTAGATTTTTGTTTTCATGCAATATGGTGTTTTTGTTTGCAGTACTTTATGCAATGGTGGCATTCTTTGCTTTTGTGCTCATGCCTTTTATGTACTTCTACTACGAAGAAAAAGATGAAGATGTGACAACAAAACAGGTAAAAGTGAATTGAACAGAAAAACAGTAGAAATTAAGTACAATGTTCAACATTGACTTGTGACTTGCAATACTTTTTGCTAAAGAAGCTTTTGACCATCATAGCGGAGCTCCACCCACGCGCGAAGCGGGCTCGTGGGCAGAGCCCCATAGCTAAGGAAATGTGGTAATCTACCGTTCCCAGAAAATTTGGTAATCACGTGACTGTACACCGAGCGAGCGAGCGACCGTCCGTCCGCACCACAGGCATACCAATGTAAAATAACTCAATCAACAGGTATGGGAACCCAAATGCAACTCAAGGTTTTATTTGGAAGGAAATCACATGGCCGCGCGGACTTTTAGAAAGAAAAAAGTGGTGTCTTTTTCGGTGTTATTTTTTATGTGTACACTAACGTGGATAACAGAGAAAGAGCTAGAGCGAGTTATTAAAAATTCAAAGGAAGAAAAACATGATAATTCAAAGCGGCGATGAGAAAATGAGAAATGTTAGCGGCCAGCAAGGTGAAAATGAGCGGCAGTGAAGATTAAAAGCGAACGTGATGAACACTGGAAACAAAATATTGGGTAAGCACATACGACAATTTCTGCATAAAAATAGTGTGTAACTAGGAAGTTTGACGTTTTAGTCGTACAAAACAGCGTTGTAGTCGTGCAAAACAACGGCAAGGGAAAGACAAAAAAGCGTGCTGCACGTGCAAATTTGTTTTTTGCTAATTAGAAGAAAAAGTGTGCTGCACGTGCAATTTGTTTTTTTGCTAATTAGACCTATTAGTCTTGAAGCCATTTTCACTGTCGTCAGCTGACTCTGTTTAGCATTACACGATTTAATTTTTTTGTTTACATGTATTGTTAACCAGAGCTTCGCTTTTAGCCCTGGCTAAATCTATATATTTACGGTGATGTGAGGCACATCATTTACATGTAAGTTTGCCAAACAAGTTGTCAAGTGCTAGTATTGAGTGCTGGTTGTGCTTATTTGCTGTCAGACTTCTCTTCTTTCTTTAGTCAAAATGTGAACTTAGTTGTTGTCAATTAATCGTCTTGGTGTATTACCAGAGCCCTTCATATAAAGTCATGCAAATCATCTTATAGCTACCTATCTTTTAAAAAAATAAAAGGTTAAAGGCTTGTTTATAGTGGAAATTGCACTTAGCTTGTCCAGCTCATTTACAGGCACTCCACTCAAATATTTAGAAACAAATAATTCAAATACAACATAACAGGATTAAAAACCCCAACTGGCAGAAGGCAACCAGTTGGCTATTTACAAGCGTGGCCGAGAATTTGAACTCGGGACGGCCGAGCACAAATCCAGCAAGTGGCCAGAGCAGGACTCGAACCCGGGACCTCCGGATTGCGAGTCTGACGCGCTGACCACTCGGCCATGCTGCCTCCCTATCTGTTAACAACTGAGTTAGATAATGTGCTGATATCACTATTTCATACACTTTGTGACATTCAAGAACAGTTATATTATACATTATTATCCTTGAATCATTTCCTTTGGCTTTTAAAAGTGTTTAGGTGGGGACAGTACAGCGCAATTTAGAATCATGTTTTGTTATTTCTTTCTGGACTGATTTAATTCTGGCACTTACAATGATATTATTTTGATTGTCCTGCAGAGAATGTGCGGTGCACTGAAGTACACTATTGGGTTTTTAATAGTTGGTGTTGTTCTTCTTCTTGTTGGGTAAGCATGAGTATAAATTATATATTGTTATTAACTGCAAATCACACGACCACTGAAATTATGTATTCTATCACATCTTTGATGTAAATTAATTTTTGTGCTTGCAGAGCCTTTGCACCATTGAAGAAACCTCCCAGTAACATAACCCAGTGGAGTGATAAATTAAACTTCATGAAAGATGAACTAAAAGCTGGCAGTTAGTAAAAAAAAAATTTTTGCAAACCTAAATATAGAAGGATTCATTATAAATAGGTCCCAATAAAGTGTACGTGTTCCTCTTGTGATTAGGTACATGTACATGTAGTTAATTATATTATGTCTGTTCTTTGCCTTTGTAACATGTTAGTTTAGGGCCATTTACACCCTCCTATGAAAGTCAAGAAACAAACACTCTCACACTGTTTCTTATTATGCATGCTCAACTCTTGTGCACATGCTGAGGTCATGTGATATTACACAGTCAACTCTCTCTAAGACGGACACCTTTGGGACCGGCACTAAGTGTCCGTCTTAGAGAGGTGTCCGTCTTATAGAGAGTCAAATAAAGGGAGTAAAGAAAGGCAGGGACCAACTCTAGGTGTTTGTTTTACAGAGTTGTCCGTCTTATAGAGGTGTCCATTAAGAGAGAGTCGACTGTATGACAAATGCAAATGTGATAAAATGGATTTATTAAATTTATGCTGAAAACCTCGGCTTCTTGTCACCTTTTTTTTCTCGAATAGCCTATTGGCTGGCTATCTTCTTATGATAGAGATGGCAAAAATAAAGAGATGCAGTACAGTATTTCTAGACACTTTTGTGTGCACAGAAGCAACACTTATGTCGGGGAAAATTTCTTAGTGCACCTATTACTCTGTCTCAGGAGAACTGTGTTCAGCCACCTTAAAGCTTCAATTAATTAAAACCTTATCTGGATAGTTATTCATTTAATGATTGTAATATTTTTTTAGATGGTGAGACAGCCTTGTCACTGCTCATGGGATTTCTTTCCTTCATGGGAATGATGATAATGATAACCTACACTGTAAGTACAGGGGCATCACATGAGATTTCAGCGTGCAAAGAAAGTCGTGTCTGATAGGCCAGGGCTAGTGGATATTGCTACCAGGCTAGTGAATTCTGTTCTTAACTTGCCCAACGGGCTAGTGAAGTTCTTTGTGGAATACAAATTACAGAAGAACTGTGAAATCAATTCTGCTCATCAAAATGTTTTGGGGGCCAGTTGAAATGATGTTTGGGCTAGTAAATGTTAGCTTCAGCTTGCCCGAATGGCAAGCTGTAAAAATGACTTTCTTTGCACCCTGGATTTTGAAGGTTTATGCACTCAAAGAAACATAATGGAGCCAAAGTAGCTGTGGAGGTATACTCCCCCAGAAAATTTTTCAGTGTATGGTCTCAGAAATGCCATTTCCTATGTTTTCTGCAGACATTTTCAGGAAATAAGTATGAAAGAAAATGCGGTGAGGGGGGCAGGAAAGAGTACATTAATTTTTATTGTACAGTTTTCCATTTTTGGAGTGATAAATGGATAAAGGAAACACTGACACAAAGACGCCAATATAATACAAAAAAAATTTGCAGTCATCCCAATTAAATGATAAAAATGCTTTCAGGAAATACAAAAATTATTTTTCCAGATTTCAGCTGTACGCATGAGCAACAATGTATGTGGACGCTACTCTCACCTCCTTTGATATAAGTTCCATTCTCTTCATTTTTGCTGGCTTAATCATTGCTATCCAAGCCTATATGATTTTGTTTTCTGTTTAGGCATATGGCATGACAGCTCTACCTTTCTCAATGTTGAAAGGATTCAAGAATGCCAAGGTAAAGCCAAACCTACTTCATTTATTCGAAAAATCTTTCATTTGTTTGTGAAAAACAGCGTCCAAGTCAGTGAGTTGAAATGGCCACTGTTCTGGTGTTTAAAAGTTGTTTTGTTTGCTTTCATTTTATAACCAAATTCACTCAGATTCATGCTGAAAAAAACCTTAAAATTAAAATGCCTATAAAATTGTTAGATTTGAATCTTTTTACATCTTTGGCTTATGATTACTCTTCTCAAGCGTACAACTTATTTACATTGTACAAAGCTAACTTCTTGGGTAGTGTGGTTGTACTTGCTTATTAATTTATGTATCAATTGACAGATTTATCTGCTCAGAGGTTTACAGTGTGATTATTATAATTAACAATTATTCTTTGAAATCGAGGTGAATAGTGGCAAAATATTTACCGAGCCGCGAAAGCGGCGAGGTAAATATTCCCAAAGCCACTATTCACCGAGATTTCAAAGAATAATTGTTAATTATAATAATCACACTGTAAACCTCTGAGCAGATAAATCTGTCAATTGAATTTTCTTCTTAGAAAACGCTGAGTTCACGAAACGGCTTCTTCTACGCGAATACACGGGAGTTGTAAACAATCCATCGAGCACAAAACTCCTGCTACAGTAAATTGAAAAACGCCGTATTGAATCCTTCCAAGTCTTTTCTTGCCTTAAAAAAAGTCAGCCCTAGGATTTTGTCAACTTTTAAAAGATCGTTCTCTAAAAAAAAACGGGAAAAACACCGAGCTCACACATTATCCACTCGCTAGGAGGTGAATATTGTTGAATAGTCCGAGATAGCGAACCAATCAGATTGCTTAAATCACCAAGATCACTGAGTGTGTATATACTAATTATGAATGTTTTATAACTGTCAGAAAGAAGAGTTAGAAGTAAGTCAGAGTCATGAATCAGTGCAAGAACGTGCCCGTATGATCCGTGCCAAGTACACAAGTGGTCGCACAGTGTCTGGGCGTGATCGCAGGCTTCTTGCACGTCTTGAAGGAGAGGAAAGGTTGCTTTTAAGAAGAGAGAGACATTTACAGGCTGCTAACCTAAGCTGGCTTAACAAGTGTCTCAGATGTTGCCGGCCATTTGAAGTCATCTTTGGGGTTTTCTTCCTGTTGTTTGGTTTACTCATTTTTGTCTCCTTGTTTCTCACATGGTAAGTTAATATTATGTACAGGACAAACTTAGTGATGTGGTCTGTGGAACCAACCTCATGATCTTTACAAACTCAGGGTCCGAAATTAACTTTTTCATGTGGGCGCCAACTGGTGAACTGGTGAGCAATTATAAATTATTGGTCGCCAGAGAGTAAATTATGGTCGCCAAAACTTCCCCATGGCGGCTTGGAAACGTGCAACTCGTGTTGATCGTAACTGTTGTGAAGGTATCAGGAAGATTCGTTTCACTTTTAGATTAAACAAATATCAGCAGGACAAAAAGTACGACACCTGTTGGCAAATAGCTTCGAGGTTTTAATTGTTAATCATTTTGTCAGAACGTGAAAGTTTACAATGACAACCAGCTTTACAAGTCGCCAGCTGGCGACCAGTTATGAAATTCTGGTCGCGAGAACTGAATTTTTGGTCGCATTAGCAACCAGGAAGGCGCAATTTCGGACCCTGCAAACCCTGAAAAGTCCCTGAACATATCTGTATCCATTGTTGTTATCATCCTGCTCCTTGTCAATGAAGTCCATAGATTAGAATTGCATTAACTCCATAGAAGTTGACTGATCTCCATAGAAGTTACTGAACAAATTAAATTAAATTCAAACATACAGATACATATAAACATCCTCTGCTCACATATAGCTAATAAAAGGAAAAGGAAGATATATAAAGGACACAAGAAGATGGAGCTAATGTAAAGATGCCTTAACTTTGTCTTTAGGGAGTACTCAGATACTATGAGGAATACTGTTCCAAATTCTTGCACCAAATCTAGAAAATGAATACTTTGAATGATTTGTTCTGGAATATTTAACAGTAGTAGTTAATATTTTACAGAAGAATCTCAGCTTTTTTGTGACCATGTCATCAAAGCTGTCACTAAAATTTCAAGTTGCCAGATAATAATACAAGTAGGTAGGTCAATCAAACAGCTTGGGATTGTTTTTGGTTCCATGGGGTCATGTTTATAATAGGCAGGGGAAATCCCCATCCCCTGGCCCTTATTAACAGTCCTGTAACATGTGACCAGTTTATAATACTGAGCACATCCTTTTGGATTCACTGTATCCAGAAATTCTATTTTCTTTTTTCTGGTTCTTTCTTATTGTTTCAGCCTTGACAAAGCCTTAAATTCACTGGGCTACAAGTTTGGCTATGCACTCCTCAAGCCTCAGCTACCCAATCCCATCAATATTGTCATGGTATATGCACAGAGGGTAAGCATAAAGAGTGTTGTCATTATTTTTAAAAAAGGAAATTAATAATGATTTTAGAATTTTGAGGTAAACATTTTAACAATACATACAGTAAGGACATGTGGTTAAAATTAACACTACTGTGACCCTCCAGTTCCAAGTCAAATTGGATCAGGCATGTCATTCAATTTTTTTTTCAGGTGTTTCCGTTGGATTATTGCTTGTTTGTTGCCATTGTTCTGTACTTCTTGTACTGTACCATGTCTGGTATCAGGGCTATAGGAATCCGCTGCTGCTGGATCAAAGTATCTTTTTAAAATGACCTTAGATTAAACAGCACTTAATAATGTACATCGCATATATGCATATTGTTAAGCTTTTTTAGGTTCCATTCCGATCGAATCTTCTTCCAGTAATGCTATTTGTTGGTCGACTGTCACTTAACTGTTGGCCAACTGTTTACTAACAGTCCTTCGTTTGACATTTTATTGGAGGGCTTTTCTTCACTTTTACCTTAGTGGTACAGTGGAACCTCTCCATTAGGAAACCTCTATTCAAGGGACACCTCTATTCAGGGGACACAAAAGTTTGGTCCCGGAAAAATGTTCACATAATCTTTGTATCTGTTACCTCATCTGTTGAAGGGACCTCTAATCAGGGGAAAGAGACACTTTTCTCTGAGTCCCAAAACCTGGGTTTAACCTCCATTCAGGGGACACCTTAGCACCCAAAGTTACTGACCACAACAGAGAGGGTTGGTAACTTTAAGTGTTCAATAATAGCTTGCACAAACTGAAGTATCTTTCTTAAATCAATGTACTGCACTTGTTGAAATTCACCATGCAATATCGCAGAGATAAGTTTATCAAGAATTTTTGTACATTATTATAGATTATTTTGGAGGTGTCAACCTTTTGAGTTTGAAAATCTGGAAACTCTATCTTGTGCATTACCCCCCCCGCCCCCCACTTATTAACACCAATCAACTGAGTCCCCAAACTTTAACATGATCATGGCATAGGACATGATAATAATGTAGTCCAGTGATTTGTTATAAATAAGTTATGCTGACTCCTGGGACTCATCTTGTGAAAAATCATGAGTCCCAGTCCAGAGTTAAAAATAAAAGTCTGAAATTGATGTTATTAGCTTGGGCCTTTACTTAACCAGACCGTGAATCTGAAGACAGACTCCAAAACTCTTTGATATGTATTACAGCATGCTGAAATTAAAGTATTGTCCTTCTATTTTAAAGCACAATAGAGGCTAAAAAAAATATGCATCGTTGAACAACTACGCTATACAGCCATAATAACGACCACAGAAATTACACAAACGGGATATTCCTACAAATACACATGTCCAGATCACTTGATTGCTCTTTGGGTCCTACTATACGGGATGGATGCAATAAATTATTTTGCGTCTCTGGGTAACAAAATCACTGGTAGTCTTACATGAAGTTAGTCAGTCAAAATTAATTTTGCTTTAATGATTGCGATGACCATAAAAACTTTGTCAGTGCTAAGATATTATGAAAAGTTCCTCCAGAAACTTTACTATAATAAAAAAAAAAAATCTCTTTCTTCGGGAGAAAACACCCATAACTTCACTTTATAGCATAAATGTTAATCTTAGCCCTTCTCGAATACATTAGCTCTACAGCTACTCTGTAAATTTCGAGCATAATTAAAGTATAATTATGTTTGTATGTATGTTATTATTTTAAACCACCAATCCAAAGTACCTTCCCTATGAACCATCCTTGACTTGTTTAAAAGCTTTATAAAATACGTGCTCGCAAAACTATGCCACAGGCTCTGCTGTTCCTGATTCTGATGCTTATGCTAACCATGTTGTTCTTGAACATCATGTTGTTCACTCTGGCACCACAGTATGTCATGTATGGCAGCCAGCATTATATGAAAGTAAGTTACAAGTAAACACTGGTCAATACACCAGATACACCATGGGATAGTACCATGTATTACATAAAGTATTAGTTCAAACCACAAAAAAAGGCTGGGCAGTTTATTTATCAACAACCTCCCCTTTAAGACCTGGTGTTTATTCAGGGCCCGGTGTTTAATCAGGAAAATACAATAAATATTTAAATTATTTTATTGTGTTTTCAAAAAATGTATTGCACAGTGGAAGCTCTTAGAACAAACGCCACTGAATCGTAGCCAACAGTTACCAGTACGACTTATTGACGAGATCAAGCAAAACTAACTACGAGAGAACTACTGGAGAACTGACAATTTGACTAAAAATAGATGACTGTTTGACTGTGACAATAGACGGATCGAAATGCACCAATTACTAATTACGAGTCTTCATAGCCAAAACCATCAACTGACGTGATTAAACTCACTTTGACTCTGAAGACGACTACCGCAGTGGAAGCTCTTGTAAGCGGACACCCTCAAGACGTGAAAAAGGTGTCTGTGCCGCTTACAAGAATGTAAAAAATAGAGATTTTTAAGGGGAGTTGAGAAAAACGGTGTTTTGTGAAGGTAGCCGTAAGTAGAGCTTTCCATTTATGAGAGTGTCCGTTAGGAGAGCTTCAACTGTATTTTCTTGACTTAAGACAAAAAAGCTGTCTGCGTCCATAACTTACCTGTACCTACCACCTGTTTGGGTTGGAAGGTAAAAACAATCACTGCATCTTATAGCAAATTTTAGTTATTTAAATACATTAAATTAAAATTGTTTTCTGTGTGTTGTCTCTTAAGACTAATGATACTGCTCATCCCGAAACAACGGTCACTCCACTTAATGGTACACTGCTTGGAATTGCAACTACCCCTACTCCACAGCCAATTCCACATAATAGCACAGTGCCTGGAAATACAACTACCCCGATTCCACAGCCAACTGCTTCTGCACAAACTGAAGTCTGTGCCACTGATGCACCAGTTGGTAAGTATATATACAAATGTGTGAGTCTAAAGTACTCAAGGAATCACCTTGCTAAATTTACTTGTGATTTTATGGTCATACTTCTATATTCAAAAGCAAGAGCTTTAAAAAAACACTGCTAATGGGAAACCAAGAACACTTTGAGTCAGTAGGGGTTCAAGTTCAGTGGCGGATCCAGGGGAGGGGAGGGTTAGCCTAACCCTTATCTAAGGAGCTGGAGGACCACCTCCCCCACCCCACCCCCCCTAATCTCAAGGTCTGGATCCGGCACTGGAGTTACAGGGTACATTTAACATTTATAGGGAGTTTGAGATATCACGACGGCGACAGACATGACAATGTTGCTTAAAAAGTGAATTTGCGTTCTTTCAATCTCTATCGCGATTACTCCGACTCATTTACTTTGTCAAATGCAAGCAACTACTCTTTATCTCATCTTTATTATAGGTAAATGTATTATGACAAGAGCTGCTGTGTTCCTAAACAGATTTTTCTACAAAGTGTGGTTCTTCGGTGCTTGTTATTACTGGGGAACATGGCTCTTTTTGGTGGTGAGTGGGACTTCTTTGCATTGATTGTTTTAAAAAACTCTAATCATTGGAGACCTGTACTTGCCTAACGCAAAGTTGGAACCTATTATCAGGCATGCTTCTTCCCTTGTTCTTTGTATGTGATCGCACGTTAACTGTGTTATTGTATCCCAAGTTTGCGCCAGTCTGTTTCACAGGAACTTACAGTCTGGGCCAGGTTGTTCAAAGCTGGGTTAAGACGGTCCAAAACTATTTACATGCGTGTTGGTCATGTTTTTTATTCGATTTGAACAATTCAACCTATTTCTATGATTTTTGGCATCCTTAATAAATCGTGAAGGAACTTTAAGAAAATGTTATTTATTTTCTTGTAGTTATAAAAACCTTGGAGATATTGGCATACCGTAAAATTCTGAAAATAATCCCCTCCAAATGTAAGCCCCCCAAACTGATAACGCAAAAAACCCCCCATTAAATCGCCCCTCCAAATATAAGTCCCCTTGGGGCTTGTACTTGGAAATTACCCTTAACCCATTCGCTCCTGGAGATTTTGCCGAAAAACGCGTTTTGAAGCTAGTCGAGTGGTTTTCTGGTCACTGTTGTGCTATAAAGAGCTAAAACTTACCACAAACCGGTTTACAGGTCGTACACTTGGCGGCCTTCTGATCCAGATGCAGAATATCTGCTTGCGAAGTTCGGGCATGCGCAGAAAGCAAAATTTCGAGATAGTTTTTGGGTTTAAAAGTGACACAGCAGTCTTGACTTTTACTTTTCGCTTTCTCTCCTCCCTTCTTTTTTCGCTTTTCTTGCCTCATTTTTTTTTTTCTCTTTGCTGGGCCTTTAGTAGGCTTCATTTTGGTGGGAAGAGTTTTTAGGAAAGCTTTTAGGATCTTAGGATTAGGTGAAAGGAAAGGTAGGTGGGTAATGGAACAAGATTTTCATGGAGATTTTCAGGTCCTTGTCACGTGGTTTTTTGCTTCTTTCTCCGGTGTCCTTGACCTAATTGTGCTCATTCTGGTATGGTTTGAAAGATCTCTTCACTCTGCACAAGTTAGCGAAGAAAGTTGTCCTTGACCGTTAAAACTGATGACGTCACAAAGGGTAGAAAGGACCTGGATCCGCACGGGCGGTTACAGGCGGTTCAGGGGCAAATGGGTTAATCAAAAAACCTAAAAATGGTCTTTTACCAACTTTTTCACCTGATTTTACATGAAATAGACAGATTTGGTTGTTTTATGCTGAAAAGTGGATTTTTTTCAAAAAGCTTGGTACTCTGCTTAACTCATTCGCTCCTGGAGATTTTGCCAAAAAATGCGTTTTGAAGCTAGTCGAGTGGTTTTCTGGTCACTGTCGTGCTATAAAGAGCTAAAACTTACCACAAACCGGTTTACAGGTCGTACACTTGGCGGCCTTCTGATCCAGATGCAGAATATCTGCTTGCGAAGTTCGGGCATGCGCAGAAAGCAAAATTTCGAGATAGTTTTTGGGTTTAAAAGTGACACAGCAGTCTTGACTTTTACTTTTCGCTTTCTCTCCTCCCTTCTTTTTTCGCTTTGCTTGCCTCATTTTTTTTTTCTCTTGCTGGGCCTTTAGTAGGCTTCATTTTGGTGGGAAGAGTTTTTAGGAAAGCTTTTAGGATCTTAGGATTAGGTGAAAGGAAAGGTAGGTGGGTAATGGAACAAGATTTTCATGGAGATTTTCAGGTCCTTGTCACGTGGTTTTTTGCTTCTTTCTCCGGTGTCCTTGACCGTTAAAACTGATGACGTCACAAAGGGTAGAAAGGACCTGGATCCGCACGGGCGGTTACAGGCGGTTCAGGGGCGAATGGGTTAAATACAAAGTAAAACAAAGCAAAAACAATAAATTTCCTTCCAACTATAAGGCTAGCCCAATCTATTTTGAAACGCAAATTTCCCTCCGTAGATAAGCCCCTCCGAATATAGGCCCCTCCAAAAATGAGCCCCTCAAAAAGGGCCTTTGAAAAATATAAGCCCCGGGGCTTATTTTCGGAATTTTACGGTATATTTAAAACCGCATTTTAATGAAAAATGTTATAATAATGATTTCGAAATCCTACAACAGCTTTTTCTCTAACTTCAGCAAATAAGCCTCGGAGCTCACTAGTTTTATATCTGCAAGTTTGAAGTCAGTCGTGTCCGTAGAACTTGCTGCTCAAATTTAACCTTAATATGCTATGCGGTGGGTTTCTGCATGATTACTCAGTTTCTTGCACTAAAGCTTTAGGTAATGAATACCCTCTCAGATAGGAGATAGTCTTTTGGCACTCTTCCTGTTTTTGTGTCAACTTTCACAATGTTAGCATAGCATTTGAAGGTTAAATTTGACTAACACTTTGTGTAGCGAGTTCTACGGTCACAATTGATTTCAAACTTGCAGATGTAAAACTAGGAGCTCTGAGGCTTATTTTGCTGAAGTTAGGGAAAAATCTGTTGTGGGATTTTGAAGATTTTTTATACCTACAAGAAAATAAATGACATTTTCTTAAAGTTCCATCATTATTTTATTAAGGATGCAACTGGTAGTTTCTTAGTGTTTTTGATGGCTACAATCACTTAATGACGTAATACAAAAGACTGAAAAGACATGGAACAATACCCTCACCAAAATGACAAGAGCAAACTAAGAATAGTTTCTGCAACACACCAAGAAACAGCCAGACAACTGTGCCCTGTACATTGTTGTGGTAACTTATGCTTTCAGTTAATAGTGTCTTGCCATCCTTACAATCCAATGGCTATTTTTACCAACAGGTGTACATTATAGGACTATGTGTTTCAATAGCTAAGAAACGCAAGTCAGTGGTGGATGAGGAGCTGGACTCCAGTGATTATGACTCAGATGAGGATTTGGTGTCTGCTTAATTTACTGACTACACCCTTGGACTCTTCAACAGTGCAAGCCTCCTTTAAGGGAGTAGTTTGAGTCAGATCGTCGCATAATTATCTTGTGCAGTACCACAATTATTACACTTTGAACATTGTGCGCTAAATTGGAGTAGATTAATAGTATCAGCACCAGCACATCTTGAGGTTCGTGTACAAAAATGATACAGCATTTTCTTGTATGTTCTCATGTAGCCTTTTTTTAAATTTAATAAGAGCATGGTGTTGCTCTTTTGGTCAATTAGAACAATCGGTAGATACAGAAGGCACATTTTAGGTAGAAGCTTTAGTGCACTTCTGAAACTAAAACATCCTTTTCTACTCTATATCCTGACAAAACAAACTTTCCTTATAAAAAGCGGATTCAGCCTCTGTATGCTTTACACCATAATAAAAAGGTGCTTATAAGAAAAACATGTACACAGTCTTGTTCATTTGAAAGCATGCACCTTACATTGTACATCAATACCATGTGCATTATCATGGCATATCTTGAAATTTTATTTGTTACTGGTGCACTGCCAAGTGAAATGAGCATTTGTATATTCAGGATGATTCATTTGTGGTATAAGCGAGTAGCCATCGCACTTGCCTGCTGGAATTTTTTATTATTTTTGACAATAGAAAAATCCAATGGGATAATGGTAAATTGTTGTGTAAGTAGCCAAATGTCTATTGTTTTAGTTATGATTAACTGCTAACAAGGACTGTACAGGTCATCCGCTTCTGTCTGTAATCATCCGGCTGAATCAGTACTGTTGTGTTCAAACAAATCAGATTTTGAGTAAGTACTCAAGTGATTAGAGACTGAATTGGACTCCAATCAGTCCTTTAAATTAAAATCCAAAATAGTAATATTGTACAAAAAATGGAAACTTAGGTGTAATGTTGTGCTAGGGAAGTTTACTCAATATTTATTGCTAAAAGATATTGTGGCATCTGATGTCTATAGAACCTTAAACAATAGTGTTTAGATTAAGAACTGTTTGATAGCAAAATAAGGAACAAAAGATTCATAATTCTTGTGATGATAATTGGTTTAATAGTTTATACAATTTGTGAAAGTTTTCCCATTTTTGTAGTTAATACAAATACAACGTATAATAAGTCCAGTTGAAAGCAAACTGCAAAGACATTAAACAAGGAAAATTACTCATGAGACTGGACGTGTGGACACTTCAGTATCACTATCAATGCTTTCCTGCATTTGTAGAGTAAGCGTTTTCAAAAGGTATGTATTTTTGCGTGTATTGAAGTTGTAAGTTCACATTTTTTGTTGAAATGTGCAAGCAGAGTCTTATAAGTCATTATTCAACATCATACATGTAAACTAACAGTAATAACTGTAGTACTGAAGGAAATGTGTTGTAAAAGTAGATTTGTATGAAAAAATAAATAAACTTTTCAACTGATAATCTTTAAATCATAGTGTACATTTTTTTAACACAGATAGCAAAAAAGTAAACGTTTTCTGATCAGAAACTACATTACAGTTATATCAAGAATTGGTGCACCTCTGCAATGCAGAATAGGTGTTTGATACCTTCTGTCGATTATTCCCACACATAGAGGAACCTTAAGAGCCATCAAGAAACTTGAAGCTAAGATCCCTGACTTTAAAAAGTTTGGTCTAGATCACATTGGGTTAGTCCTTTTTGTACATAAGTTTCATTTGATCCATTGCAGCTGTAGTTAAGCCATTGTGTCCATTCCTTCAATTTCCCCAAGCATGTCATCATCATCATCCATTTGAATGTCACCTATGTCATTACTTGTGGTGGCATTAGGTGCACCATTTTTCTCATTCTTTACAGTAGCTTTTACATGCTCAAGCCCACTGGGAGTGTCATTTCCAAGGCGTGATGCCCCACCCTTTCCATCTTGCAGAACTTGGCGGCTTTCATCGAAGTATTGGTTTGGATGGTTTATGGCAGAGCTGGCAGTTACCTAGGTAGGGTAGTTGATGCAAATTAAAATTAGAACAAATAGAACTCTAATGGTGATCCCATTGCATGTAACAAATTAAAAAGGAGAAAGAGTTCATACCCCATGTGTTAGCTCAAAGTATCTTGTACAAGCCAGCTGGTAATGGGACTCTTTGACAAACTCCATTATCTGTAAACAAAGAGGAGAACAATATTGTACAGTACAATGATGTGTGTTACAGTATAATAGTTCGTAATGAAGAACTCTGCTCAAATACATTGTGACAGTATTCGAAAAGAAACTCCTTTTTCTGTTATGGCTTTCAACTGTACCTCATCAATACCCTTCTTAGGAATCCTGTAAGCTGCTAAACGTTGCCGCAGTAGATCAGCATCTGTGTGTCGGAATGGGCAGCCTGTGAAGAGATTAGGAGAAAACTGATCAAAAAGAAGGTAAGTGCCTCCTGGCGACATTATCACAATCTTATGCTAAAATGTGCACAATGAATGTGTAAGAAACAAACATTGGATCCCTGCTTTTCAGACACCTTGTTATGATTATCACATGGTTAACCACGTCACTGGGAAAGCCCTTCCCTTCCTTTTATTTTGATGTACAATGAAATCAACACTAACTGCTTAACACCCACACCTGGTTAATACAAACACTGTCTGTGGATCCCCCAGAATAAGACAGAAGGGTGAACTATAAATTCTCTATTATATTGGGGGATAGTTAACAGAAAAAAAAAGAATAGCAGGTGGACTAATCTTGTCCATAGGTTCCATGCTGGAAAATTAACCAAATTTTTTTTTCAACTGTCAAGAAAATGGTGTTGTCATTGTTCCCCCTACACTGCCTTTGGGCAAACATCAACTTCTTTACAAGGGAAAGAAACTGAGGGATGGACCACAAGCCTCTAAGCACAGGTTACTGAGGGAAGACTAAAAAATATGATGCTTTACCATGATGATCTCCTGGTCCAGGTGGGTTACTCATGATGATTTTCATGCAGCTGTATGGTGTGTAGTCTTGTCTTTTACCTTCTTTCCCATAACTGTGCCGAATGTTGTAAGCATACTGTTTGTCAAACTAGTTGAACAAAAAATGGAGATAAAATAATGTTTGTTTTTTACCCTTGTATCATTATCATTTTTAAACAAATTAACTGGTAATTTTATGCTCCTTTTATTCATTCATTCATTCATTCAACCTTTATTTGCCATACAAAATTTACAATTTAAGGTTGGAATAATGAGATTAAAGAAAAAGTAAATGCCCCTCAACATTGTTGTTATTAAGTTAATAAGTGTTTAAAAAAAAAAAAAATCAGGAACCAATAAACTTATGAAAATATGATTGTGTTTACACAAAGTGTTACAGGTCGAATTTGATTTCAGGTTAATTTTGATTTAACCTAGGTTGATTCTGGATTTCCTTTGCCTTCTGGAGCTAGGAGACATTCGAAATTGAGAATCACCCTAGGTTAAATCAAAATTAACCTGCAATCAAATTTGACCTGTAACATAATGGAACCAGTAACTGTCTTTGTTAAGACAATTTTGTTGATGTCAATTGAAATTTTTTTATTTCATGAATCATACTTGTTACTTCCAAATCAAGTATTACTCATTGTCACTTAGGTGTCAAAAATGCTGGTACCTTATCAACATCCATAAGCTTTGTGAACTCAGATCTCCAAAAGATAAGTGCTTCTTCCAAACTGAGTCCAATACCCTACATCAAGACATCCAAACACGTTGATCATCAGATAAGGTATATAAAAAATACAACGTAAAAATAAAGTACAATAGCCATACAATGGTTTATTAGTCTATCGTCAACAAAATTGGTCCCTCAAGAAACTTATTTACGATAAAAGAAACCAATGAATTTTCTAAATAATAATAAAGAAAAAAAACAAGTTTATGTCCTACAGTTAATGATCGGTATTAAGTCTGTTGTGCATTCGACAAAGTTGTTATCTACCTTAATAAACAAGCCATATTGCAGTCGGCCAAAGTGCTTTAAGTGGTGGTTTTCTTTCATTGCTGTGTGCAGTTGACGCATACACAAAGGATAAGATGTTTTTGATAGCTATAAAATAGAAGACAACACAAATGAAAATATGACTGGTGAGTGGCATGGGGGAGCATTTTAAACACGTTTTACTGGCTAAAGAATACAAGCTAAAAGTTTCCAGTTTCTTGTTTTTGGAATTATTAATTTTTGGCCATCAATCAGGAGAAATGAACATATTTGGAACCCCATGACTACCAGGCTACATTGATTTACATCATCAGTATGGAATTTCTGTCGCTGCCACATAGACGTCCCTCTTCGCAAAACATCCCCAATGGTGAAGTGAATGACTACATGTAGCTGCTAGGGCCTTGTTATACATGCACATAAGCACTTTGCTTGGCTTTGAAGCAAGAGGGGATTCCTGCAGCGTGCAAAGAAAGTAGTGTCCGATAGCCCGGGGCTAGTGGATTTTGCTATCAGACTAGTGAATTCTGTTTTTAACTTGCCCGACGGGCAAGTAATGTTTTTCGAGGAATTCAAATAACAGAAGAACTGTGACGTCAATTCTGCTAGTCAAAAAGTTTTTGGGGCTAGTTGAAATGACGTCTGGGCTAGTAAATGCTAGCTTCAGCTTGCGCGAATGGCAAGCTGTAAAAATGATTTTCTTTGCACCCTGCCCTGGAATACATCACTGTCTGAGTGTTAGGATACCAGCTTAACCCAGAATGCAGTGTAAACTCACCCCATCAATTTGATCCAGAGTGACTTTCCCTCCCACAGACTTTTTCTGGGTGTAATCCTGTCCAACATACTGACGACTAAATATTAAAAACATCATAACGAAAAAATACCAGTAAGTCATCACACACAAGACAACAAAATTCACCACTTAATGTTATTGCATTGCACTGGGTAAGTAAAACAAACCTGAGATTTGTTAACTTTGGAAGCAGTCTCTCATCTTCTTCAAGATATGGTAATGCTCTTGCAGTCATCTGAAGGAAAGACAGAACCGTTAATGAACAAGTGTGAGGTCAAGACAGCTGGATATCGGCCAAGTTCTTTTTTGCGTTTTTATTTGGCGAGGTCACTGAATAAAAAACTCAAAAAAGAACAAGGCTAATATCCAGCCATCTTGACCAAACAACTTGGACTGTTAATAAATCAGTCTTAACAATTAGTAATATGCAACATCGAAAAAACAAGAGACACCTACAGCCAAGGCACGAGAGAGCTGTACTCGAAATTCATTGGCCACAAGGGAAACCAGATCATCTCTTGGGACATATGCAGAACCCTGCAACACAAAACATACAATAAAAACAATTCAGAGCTGCAAATTGTCAGACAAATAATGTCCAAATAAACTTTGTCCATGTCTGATGAAATTCTGCAAGTACTTTCAGTCAGATGTGGTGATGGAACATATCAATTTTATTGCCAAAGACAATAGTTTGCTCCTTGAAACTAAAGATTGGCATAAGTCAGTGTTCTCCCAAAATTGTAGCTCAGCAGGTAAGGGACCATTCATGGCCGGTAAGGCAAAAAATGTGCACCAGAGGTGCACTTTCCTAGGGGGAGGGGGTAGTGGAGTGAGGGACATGGCTCAACTCACGCTGGGAAATTTAGAAGCTAAGTTCTCTGATATGTCATTCGCTCTTTTTAAGGCCTATTTTATGCAAATCGGCCATTGTCACCTTTAGACAACAACTTAAAACATTTAATTCCAATAATTTTACTTTGTCTTCAATGTTCTCTTTCCAAAATGCATGGCCCAGAAAAAGAAAAGCTGTGTATACTTTTGTACTTTTCCATATATTCATTCATTTCCTTGTGAGAATCAGATTGGATCACAACTTGCATATATTATAAAACTATTTAATTTTAGTTAACCTTCAAGTGGTCGCAAGTGGTAAGAAGAGTTGCTTCAGGAGGTAAATTTTACCGGTTACCTCCTGATCAGGAGAACTCTGTAAGTCAACTCTTGTCTTGATGGACATCCACGTAATACAGACAGCAGCTGCATTTCCAGCGACATTTGACTGAAATAAACAACCAGTGTTCTGGACTCTCACTTATAAGGTCAGTGACTCACGGTCTCAAGTGTCCAAAAAAAGGAAGATGACTGTACTTAAAGAAGTTTGAAAACTCTTAGTACTAGTATAGTAGAGTATAAATTATAGCAACAATATTTCTGTTTTGTAAAATGGCAACTTGGACATCATTGCTGTCCTTTCTGAAAAGATTTGCATTCCTGCTTTTCGTTAGCGAACTTACATTTTCTAGGTAAACCTTTCTTGATCTCACAAGTTCAAGAGCATCTTCGAATGGAACCTGGGGAAAACAAAGGCATTAATAAAGAAAATTTAATAATGCTTCCACATAATCATTTTAATTCAGTTACAGTGTATCTCCTTGACAACAATGTGAATTAATTTTAAACTTTACCTTAAAGTAGTCTGTATTTAGTACTTTATCACTTGTGAGGTTGAATCCTGAATTCATCAGCTCTTCTTTTCGTGCCTCTCTTTCTTCATTTGTGATCTGCAGAGAAATGAAATTAATTAATCTCACAAAAATTACAATTAGCATTTTTTTTTTTCACATGTACATGTACACCAGTACATATGCTGATCTAAAAACTGATGTTAGTATAGGTGATAGCATGATTTGTAGTGATATTTGGCATAAATACCACTAGTGATATCTCAAAAAATTGTTATACGTAATTTCATGAGCCGTTAGGCAAGTGAAATTTTAGGCAATTTTGAAATATCATGAGTGGTATTTATGCCATATATCACATACAAATCATGCTATTATATTTTGTTTATAAATACTACTACCTGCAAAAGATTTGTTATTTTCACATGTAGGTATTTCAAATTAAGCTGAAATGCCTCTGCTCTGAGCCAATCAAATTGTAGAAATTTCTCAAGTAGTGGTATAAAATGATGTAATATCATTGGTGACACATTAATCCTTACCTTTTAAATGAAATGTCAGCATTAAAAAGCAATAACTTCAAATGTAAGTTTTATTGCAAACAAGAATAATTACCATGCCATCAGTTCCTACATGTATATCTCATTACCAACATGGTTAAAGATGTTGCATGCAAAAGAGCAAAATATTATTAACAACAAGAACGATATTCTAACAGGCTTTTTGTCTTTGCACTTACTGGTTCGTATTTCAGTCCATTGTCACTCAGGAATATGTCTGTCTGTTGTGTGTCACATTTGGCTAATACAGTAAAACGAAACCTATCCATAAAATACAATACAATTGTGTAAATCAGCAAGATCTAGGTAATGGTCTGATACAGAGAAGTCCCCTACTTTACAGAGTTGATGGATAATAATTAAGGACAATAATATATTAAATATCTCCTATCAAGGAAACCTAGGACTTCTGGTGTGAGGATAGAGTGTACATCCATCAATAACCATGATATAGGTACAGTTAAAGTACCATTAATTTTTTACACAGTTTACGGACTGTAGAATTGAATTCATGAAAGGTGTGGAAAATTGGAGAGTTATGCTGGAAAAGGTTATTATAATAATTATTATTATTTTTATTATTCTAAATTTTTCCCTGTAATACCTTATTTATTATTTTTTGAATGTGGGAACTAGTTTTTCCAGTTTAATGATCCTACATGAGCCAGAAGTCGGTGATGAGCAGATAGAATAGTGAGATATAGTGGAAGCTGTCCTTGCATCCACTCTCATAAGTGACCAGCTCTAGTTAACACTTTTGGGATTACCCAACGGGACATTTCCTTTATTTTTAAGCTCTCATAAGCGACTACTCAGAGTCTTTTTCATATGAATCGACATTTAAATGAAACTAATGGTCTGAAAAATTGGACCTAAAGTTTAGCCGTGTCTATATCAGATATAAAGACACTCGTTAAACATTAATTTATTTCGTTTTTTCTTCATGACTTATTAATGAGTTTCTAAAGCCCTCGCTAGTGACCATCCTTTACTATTTTACCATGTCGTCCCTTGCGAAAGCTTGTTCTTTTCAACGACCAGCTCTATAGTTACGACCACTTTTTCAAATTTCCGAAGTGGTTCTTATGAGATCTTTGACTGTATAAAAAGACCTTGAAACCATTTGGTTAGGCCATTTGACAGCTAACAGTTGACACCATTGAGACCCTCTTTGGGTACACAAATTTTTAAAGTCTTACATGTAAAACCCTGATCCCAAGCTCTTAGGTAAAATCACTTTAAAGCTTGTAAAAAATTAATCTTTTAATCAAAATTCAATGTATCTGACAATGATGTATTTTTTCTCTTAAAAAAGTACATTCCTATCTATTTAGGGGCCATAATAAGACAATAGTTATACTTCACTTACCGAAATAACTCAACTTCTTGAGACAGAAACCACCGCCTGAGATCTTCCCTAAAGATTAGATCACACAGGTTTATTACAATGTTTGGTACAAATTACAGTGACCAACCTTGAGCAGCCATTTTTACAACTATTGATTGGGTAGGAATTTGTTTTCTAGCCACACATCAGGTTTGTTTGATTTTGTCAGCCTATTGTACAATGTTTTGTTTTTACCATTACACATGGCCCTAACACCTAAGACCTAAGACCTAAGACCTAAGACCTAAGACCTAAGACCTAAGACCTAAGACCTAAAAACGAAGATCCTAAAACGAAGACCCCAAGACGAAGACTAGTTTTTTTTACAGGCCTATCAAGCCAGAGCCAGTCAAGCCGGGGTCAACGCTTTTCCTAAGACACCAACTGACGCGAAATGAATGGGGTCTTCGTTTTGTAGATTAAGCCGGGTCAAACTACAAAACGAAGACCCTCGCGTAAATGCTTTGTTCGTTGTCAACTGAAGCGAAATGAATGGGGTCTTCTTAATTTGCAAAACGAAGACCCCATTCATTTCGCTTCAGTTGACAACGAACAAAGCATTTACGCGAGGGTCTTCGTTTTGTAGTTTGACCCGGCTTAATCTACAAAACGAAGACCCCATTCATTTAGCGTCATTTGACAACAAACAAAGCATTTAAGCGAGGGTCTTCGTTTTGTAGTTTGACCCAGTTTAATCTACAAAACGAAGATCCCATTCATTTTGCTTCAGTTGACAACGAACAAAGCATTTACGCGAGGGTCTTCGTTTTGTAGTTTGACCCGGCTTAATCTGCAAAACGAAGACCCCATTCATTTCGCGTCAGTTGGTGTCTGAGGAAAAGCGTTGATCCGGCTTGACTGGCTCCGGTTTGATAGGCCTGTAAAAAAAACTAGTCTTCGTTTTGGGGTCTTCGGTCTTAGGTCTTGGGTCTTAGGTCTTTGTTTTGTAGACACCCGACCGGTTGATTCATGGTTAGGCAAATTAATGGTAAGCAAATTCAAGACTGGTAAATTTCATCCCAGTTCATTTGCACTAATCTGCTGGATTTTACGGAAAAACAGCCCCAAGAGTTTGAAACTTGTATAAAAAATGGCTTTGAAGAAATGGAACATAAATCTCTGTTTGGAACATTGCGACAGGGAAAACAGGATGAACTTTTCACACATTCCGTTGCTCCTGGAAATTTTCCATGGAAACGACGTGAAAAGTTTTTGTTCCATTTACTTTCCAACCGGATTTTCTGGAAACTTTTTGTAAATGGTAAAAAACCCGTAGTTTTGTGTTATAATTTTATGGGCTCAAAGGTTTCTATGTACCAGCAGCATGGACACATACAAAAATTCATGGAGTACAACCAAAAATGTACCCCCAACCTAGGAGGAAATGTGACAGTAGGTTAATTCATAAGATAAAAGATGATAAATATGTTCACTTACGATCTGCAATAAGCAAGACGAAGGATAAAATGAGAGATATGATCTTTTCTTCTTTCATTGAACTCTTCCTCTATATTCTGTAGAGATCACAATATTTAATTTAGCAAGATGTTAACGTTTTTTTATAAGAGGCCATTACAGTCAGACCTGTATTACGTGGTTACTCTCTAAATTGTCACTAAATTGTCTCTAAAGTGTCCAGGAAATAAGCCATTTCTGAGTAACCCTTTGCCTCTGTTTCAAAGCGATATGAAAATGATTTATTCTCATGCAAATAAAACACATTTTCACAATGGTTTTGCAGTTAGCCTCATTTCAAAGTGAGAATTTTTAGAACTCGGAAATGGCCCATTGTGAATCGTAAATTGTTTGTTTACCCACAAAGCACTTAGGAGATCTTATGAACTCGTTTAAATGTGTCCGTTCGTTCCAGATCAAATTGGAATTTGGAAGTGTTGGTGTTTGTGGAGAGGGGAAAACTGGAGAAACCGGAGAAAAACCTCTCGGAGCAAGGAAGAGAACCAACAACAAACTCAACCCACATGGCGTCAACAACGGGATTTGAACCCAAGCCACACTGGTGGGAGGCGAGTGCTCTCACCACTGCGCAATCCTTGTTCCCCTTGTCTTACTTGCTTATTGTAAATGGACCAAAATTGGGGTCACCTTGTCATTTTTTCTCATGGGTTTCACTGTACAGTGTACATAAATTTAATGTGATTTGTAAAATAGTTTTATACAAGTAAATCAAGACATGAGATAAAGGTTCTCCTCACCCGTACCTGCAGGACTGTAAGCTGGTAAAGGAATAATTGAAAGCATCTGTTTAACCCTTTAAGCCCTAAGAGTGATCAGTGTCAAATTTCTCCTTGTAATATCACTGCTTTATAAAACAGAGTGGTCATGAGAATTAAGGACATGATCACACAAGACGAATCCAATTGATACTTCAACAAATTCTCCCCACTACTTCTATTGAAAACGTATAGAGATAACAAATGAGAATTTCAATTTTGATATTAGGGTTTAAAGGGTTAATAAGACTTCCTATAGCAGCAGAATACCCTACCTTGTTCGTGGCTCTCTGTGCCAGGGGCAAGAATTTTTTCAAGCTTTCCTTCATGGCATTTTCATACTCTTTAGAGCCTCTTTTGTACCGAATACCAAATGTTTCCACCTCTCTGAGAACTAATAAGAAAGGAGTAAAATCTGTGAGCGAGTGTTTGCCATTGTTTAAATACTTTAAGAATGGGCTGATAAAAATCTGTGACTTTAAAGCAAAATGTTCAAACAAAGCTAACAAAAACAAGACTTCAGCTCTAAGATTTTGAGATTGGATGAAAAGTTTCTGAGACTCATAAAATATTTTTATAGGTACCATTTGCCAGCCTTTGTCTTAATGGTCACCTGCAGTGGTGGGTTGGAGGGGAGAGCTGTGACAACAAGTCAACATGAAAGCCAGAACTGTATGATAATAGAGAGATTTTGAGTCAAGCTTACAGCAAACGGCAGAATTTGCACCATGTGAACAAGTTTTCCCTTTCATCCAATTAGTATTGTCTTGGAGAGTTTTTATTTGCTTAAATGTATTTTCTATTTTGAGAAATTCGCAATTTGAATCTGATGTTTGTTGTTTGCCATAAACGTGACTCTAAATCTCTCCAGTACTAATTTTAACGGTTACTATATCTGTAACCAATTCACTTTCTGGTTCCTTACAGGGTAGCATTTCAAAATGTTAGTAACCAAAGTTAGTTGCACATTATACTCTATACGCCTCCAAAAAAGTCGAGTCCAGGAGTTGGGACAAGTAGATTTAAAGCTCACTTGCTCAATGGGCAAGGGACCAGGCAAGTCATCCTCTAAGACAGCAAGAAGTGACCATGGGAGGAAAAATATGACAAAGGACAAGCTTGAATTCAAGTTTTTTTCAAGCCTTACTACATGTACACACAAAAGTATATGTGTTATAATTTTGGCCAAATCCTTTTTTTTGTATTTTTATTGACTGAGACAAAGGCCATTGTTATATTCCTAGACTTTCACTCAACTAAACAGGGACTGCCATTGGTTGATTCTTGGTCACGTGGCCTTGACTAAAATCAAATGTATCCCAATCGTGATAAATTAGGCAATGTACCCCGCTCAGGATACATTACAGCACGTGATCAAAGCACAGTGGAAAGTGGCGTGAGACAGAGGGCTGGAAAAACACTGCTAGTTTTCTTTTTCGTGAATGAACACAACAACACAAACACGAAGCCTCAAGTTAAAAAGCAGTGATTTTAAAAGTTATCCCAGAAGAGAAAAAGCAACTAGTGGAGGAAAATGATGCAAATAGTATAAGGAGAGTACATTGTACATTCATTCAGTAGTTTTGGGAATTAAATTGGTGTTGTTATAAGTACCAAGTCAATTGTTTTGGTTCACTCTGGTTATCTTTTGTTGCTGTTGAAGTGAGAGTCTAGAAACTATAACAAAACACTTAATGTCAGGTCCCTCGGGAAACCAGTTAGTTTTGTTTTCCCTCGACTTCGTCTCAGGAAACATCAGGACTCTCAGGAAAACAAAACTAACTGTTTCCCTCGGGATCTGACATTAAGTTTATAATATGACCACAAAGCTTGCAAGATAGGCCCATCTTGCTCCCTCGGGTAGCCAATCAGAACACAGGATTCGCTTCAGCTAAATCATCCTTACTACCTCCCCAAAGGGTAAGCTTGTAGTCTTTCTGAAGAAATATGTTTTGAAATCATGTATGCAAGCTTACGTATCAAGGGTGAATCCTGGTATTTTCTGTCTATAAAAAATTTGTTAATGGCGTAGGTCGTTTAACACTTGTCCGTATTGAGATAAGGCATCACGAAACGACAAATACCAAATTGTTTTGACCAACGCATTCAAATTCATGTATGCAGTTGATATCTACACCTTTCTAAAATCGGAATATATCCTTTCTCCCGAGTAGCACCAACTGATACTTACTCCCTCAATGTCTCGAGAAGAGAATGAAGCGAAAAACAATCAAAACTCTTGTTCTTTAAGCAAGATACTTCAGTTTATAATCTCCCAAGACATGATCGCCTACCTTTCAATCGATCAATGGCAAACTCTTCGAACTCCTCCAAGGTTATGTTGTCCGTTGGTGGAATTTTGTACATCTGTAAGCCGTATGTATTAGTCCAAGCATTTTGTGAACTATCTAGGGGATTAATCCGGCTTCTTCTATTTTTTCGATTGCTTGTAAACTGCATATTTTTGGCACAATGTATGTGGCTCTGTGAAAGATATTTTTGATCGCCCTTTTCCCGCCAAATGAAGCGATAAGGGAAACTAGTGCACAGTCCCTTTGCAATTTTCCAACTTCCCGCGAACTGCATTGTTGTTAATTTATGAATTGGCGGCCATTTTGAAGTTCGTTGCACAAAAGTTGTTGATGCTATTTTTCACTCTACCGTTGGCGTTCCCCACGGTGAAATTTATTATACAACGAGAAAAAAACCCACAGCGTTTATCACGAATTAG